CGCCCCCCAGCGTGGTCGACATCCCGGGGGGAGGGGGGCAATATGGCGGGGGGCACCGTTTACTAAAACGCCTATAACGCGAGAACTATTCTAGGTAGAACATCGCAATAAACGTCAATTTACTCAAAAAAATATGATCTTTAAAAAGGTTAATGTAGTGAAATTCGTATCTTTGTTGGTTTTTAGTTATTTTAAATTGAAGCTAAAATCTTCAATTTACAAGGTAAAAATGGGGTTTTTCAAATTTTGACCCTAATAACCAAACAATTTGCAATTTATTTCTTAAACCACTTTATAGAGCTTAAAAAAATAAATAATTTAGTTTAGCAAAGGGCTGTTGTATGCCTAACGGTTATGCAGATAAAAAAAAAAAACTGATATTCAAAATTCCCATGTTATTCTTATGGAGAATTAAAAAACGGTTGTAGTTTGCTTATATATGGATATATTATAATCAAATTTGGCAATTTTGTTTATTTCATACTAAGCTATCAACATTTCAATAAAAACTCACCTCAATACCTTCCCTGTAGCAGCAAACCTATTTATTTAAATAGGAAATAAAGCTGACAGTTTTCAGGGAAAATTTGAGTATAATATAATATTGAGTCTGCAGGTTTACTGCGGCAGGGGTACTTTTTAAAGCAACCAAAATTGCAAGTAACAAGAGACACTTTTTAAGGATAAACATAGCTTTTATATTTGTAGGTCTATGAATAAAAAAACTTTACAATTAAATTTAAACATAAATATGCTGGGACATTTCATTATAGTATTGAGCAGAAGAACCGTAAAGGCAGAGTGCCAACTGTGGAATTGAACTAACACAAATATAAATAGGATACACCATTTCACTGTACAAAACTTAACACGGACTTAACACTTATTTAACTTGGAATGAACTGCACAAACAATTATTTACTTAATTTTTACCACTAAACAACGCAGATAATCCATTGCGTCTGACTCTTCATTTATTTTGTCAATCAGCTGATATGCATTGTTGCATTATTTCCAACACGGTTTAGTGTTATGGAAATTTATTGTGAATAATATCATAGACTAACGAACACAAGTAGACTTCTCATCTCATTGTTAATTCTAAAGCTTTGTTCATATATAGTTCATGTTGGCGACACTGGGTGCTAGTGTACACAAAATTGTATTTCTATTGTTTTACGGTTGATTTTATGATGACTGCTTTTCTTTTTGGTTACATGAAATAGGGACGAGCTGTTGTTTATGGTATATTGATTTATTTCGCTTCATAAGTTTTAAAATAACTGAAATAACAAGAAACAAATTTTATTTAATAAAAACACACCTCTAGCACCGGTTGATCTACAAGGATAACAAATTTACCTTTAAGAAGTATTTTTAATCTACGATAATCAACGTAGTGTTTCGCAACTTAATAAATGTTGCAAATCCAGTCTCCTAAAATTTTAAGCCGGTATTTACTTTTTAAAAGTAAATCATTGGGTTTTGCCATGAAAAGTTTGAAATCAAGGCTCCATGCGTCATTTCAGTACCGGTACCTAATAAAATAACTATGTATTCTTCTACAATACATACTCTTAGAGCTTTTTAAAACGCCATTTTGAGTTTTATTCACAATAAAAATTCAAAGACTAAACCTTTATAGTTAATTAATTAATCAAACAATGCATATCAGCTGATCGGCAATGAAGTAGAGAAAACAGGGATACCAAATTATGATCTATGTTTGCCTTAACAGTGACTCTTGGAACTTGTAATTTAGGTTGCTTTAAAAAAAAACAGCTTGTAAATTGAAGATTTTAGCTTCAATTTAAAATAACTAAAAAACCAACAAAGATACGAATTTGACTACATTAACATTTTTAAAGATCATAATTTTATGAGTAAATTGACGTTTATTGTAATGTTCTACCTAGAATAGTTCTCGAGTTATAGGCGTTTTAATAACGGTGCCCCCCGCCATATTGCCCCCCTCCCCACCGGGATGTCGACCACGCTGGGGGGCGACAACATGCGTTTTCGTGATCACTATAGTGCCTATAACAACAATCAGAAATAAAATTGCGTCACCCTTTTCATGCATGCTCAACCCCCATCAGATCCTGGACTACCTGGTGGGCTGTTGGAGATTAGCTGAAAAAGTTAGAATTAATGTAAGAAAATAATTAATTAATTAATTACTGTACCTATCAATTAAAACTTTTAACTATTAATTTTTTAAAAAACTGGAAATTTATGGATTTTCTAAGAAATCTATTTTATGGTTGAGATCTTATATAACAGGTAGATTTCAAAGAACTGTTATTTTAAAAGGAGGTTTTCAGTCAAAATCTGAATGGAATGAAATTAGAGTAGGAGTCCCACATGGCTCTATTTTGGGTCATCTTCTTTTCTTTATATAAATGACTTACATGAAAATATTTTCTCATAATTTAATACTGTATGCAGATGACACAACTGCTGTTGTTAAAACTAAAACAGAGGACGATTTATGGGTGAAAGTAGAAGAAGCATTAATAGATCTTAGAGGGTGGTTTGAAATAAACGGACTAAAATTAAATCCAGAAAAAACACAACAGGCAAAATTTAATACGATACAATCCCGAAATTTCACAGATAAAACAAGAACCAAAACTGTCAAAGGTACTAAATTTTTAGGTTTGCATGTTGATTCAAATTTAACCTGGACCAAGTGCATTGAAAACATATTACATAAGCTTGATTCTGCTTGTTTCCAAATGCTTTGTTTGAGAAACATTTTAGATATGAAAACATGTTTAATTATCTATTTAGCCTATTTTTATTCAATACTGCATTATGGGATTGAATTTTGGGGATTCTCATCAGAAATAGAAAAGATTTTAAAGTAAAAAAAATAATTAAGAATTATGACATTTGCTAAACAGAAATATTCATGTAGACCATTTTTAAAAAACTTAATATAATGACTGTACCAAGTTTAATTATTTATAAATCCTTATAAATGGTACAGTCAAATTTTGAAAACTTATGTGCGGAGACTTTTTACCATCCATATAACACCCGTTTCAAAAAGAATTTTTAGTTTCTGAAAATTCCAATTAAAATTAATAGAAAAAACACCAAAATATATGGGAAAGAAATTTTTTAATAAGCTGTAAAAGATTTTCAATATTATGTTTCATAAAATAACGCAAATAATTATTTCTAAGAATCTTTGTATATTGTTAGTATTTTAGGTACTTATTATGATATGTATTATGATTATATTGACAATGTCACCTGATTTTGTAGCTTTTACTATGTAATCTGTGAAACGTTTATGTGACAATAAAGATATATTTATTTATATATTTATTACTCCCTAACTTGATTCAACACTGATCAGTGAACATCTTAGTTTGAAAAGTAGTGGTAGGCCTACTTCAACAGCTTTGATTGGCTTTAACAGGTCTATAACTGTACAAAAATATGCCTTGTGTTTGTGTATCAATGCTCACCATCATCTAAGAACTGGCTAACAAATCATGTTAATATATAGGACTACAGTACAGTACTCTTCCGATTAAACAATGTTGAGACTGACACTACCTCGGTTACCGAGAATCTCGTATTACACAGACGTCTCTTAGATTTTGAGGTTAGGGGTTATGGTATCCCATTAAGAAGTCAAATACTTTATATAATTTAAAAGTGAAAACAAAATGATCAATGAATGGTATTTTTATGGAAATATTTTTTTTTTAATAAGGCAGTGTTATTGAGGAAAACCATAAATCAAACCGCTTAACACTTCTTAAATTGTCTTGGAAAACTTTAAATACAGAAGCATACATATTATTAAATGATGCTAAGTCAACACTTTACAGGATAAAATAAATGAAAACAAAATAAGGGTGATCTCTATAGATTTAAAATATACAATTAATTTATGTTTGAGTTTGACTTGAACTATACTTTTCACAATCATGTCAATATTAAAACATTGTAATGACAAACACTGACAAAAGGCGATACAAGCCTAAATGCCAGAGCAGAAATGTCATTGCTTTTGTTGGTGTTCTGCTTACCAATGGTTAGCGGCCATCCTAGTAAAACTTACTGTGAGTGGAATTTCATTTTATAGGTTACTGAGGATAATTTGTACGTTAAAATAATACCTATAATCATTATTTAAAGTATTTATTTTAAGAAACCACAAATTACTTGCTATTTTTACTTTACTTTCAACAGAAACTTTCCTAAAAACGTAATTATTGTTTCCCAAATAAAAACGTATTTAGTCCTAAAACAACCTCGGATAATCGAGAGTGTAGGCCTACTGTGTTGGAAAAAACAACAGTGGGAATGCTCCACTATACCACTGTATTGTACATGCTGAGTGCAGGAAATTAGAAACAGCTCAAGTTGATGAGTTATACAAATTCGAAACAGCTCAAGTTGATGAGTTATAAATTGTTATCTATTGGTTGAAAAGCAATAAATTGGGCTAGTCTGCCGATTCAATCTATTTGATACTTGACAGTGCTATTTGCACAAATGAGAAACCAAGAAGATTAGATATGATTGTATCTTTTTATTTGGCAATACCTTAGCAAACTTATTCACCTATGCTATCATTCCTCAATTCCTAAACCAACTTTTATAATTGCTACTATACATTAGTGATTAGCAAAGGTACATTTCCAGGTAATATATAAATGCATTTTAGTATTCCTTTAGCCCTATATCTTATCACCTTACTAATCTTACTAATATTATAAATGTGCACTTTAGCTGTCGCCCTCCCAGCAGCGGTCGGCCATCACTTGCCGCAGTGAACATGTTAAAACTGCTCAAATTGTTCTTGATCTTATCCAATTAATTACTTAACTGTATGGTTTTTTCCCATTTGTATGGTCTTAGTTTCATTTTATTGAATATCCTACATGGGGAATAAGCTACAGTATTTATATTTGTTTCAGTATGAGTGGAGGCAGAAATAATGGAGGTAGAGGTGGTGGAGGTAGAGGTGGTGGTGACAGAGCAGAAGGGAGCCGTGGTAATATTGTAGTTCCAAGAGGTAAGAGAACTGTATGGGCCTACAGAAACTTTGTTGTTTTTTGGAAAATATTAATAGTCTGTATCGTATGCAATAATTAAATATTTCAAATTTTATCTAAATATCATAACAAGTAAATTACAACAGTTTACTTTCCATAAGAATAACATCGGACTTTTAGATGTGCAGTTTCTTGAAATTTTCCATGTTCCTTTAATTGTACAACACTTTAATATAAAAAAAATGGTTTTTTAAGCTCTACATGACTTTAATGAAAATTGAGTACTTCCATGTTTTAAGAGTAAAAATCAAAATAAACAATTTGTGAAAAATTTTAAAACCTCATAGCATGTTGATGACTTTGACGAGATTGCGATCGTGGACGACAACAATGATGTTACTGCGATACCGGGAGTCGAAGATGACGTCTACATGGCCGCAAGAGATGTTCATGATTTTACCACGATCGCAGATGACGACGAAGACGTTTCCGTGAACGAGGGAGTTCATGATTTTGCTGCGATGATGACATCTACACGACCGTGAATGATGTTCATGATCTTGCTGTGACGGTGACAAACAGTGATGATGTTTCAGTAATTGAGAAAGATATTTCGGATTTTGCAGTGATCCCAGAATACGACAATTATCACGATATTGCTTTGAGTTTGGCTGGCACACCTCTATACAGGGTGATCAACTCAAGGAGGCCACCATTGGGATATCGGAAACGGTAAGAATTAGAGAAAACTTTAAATGGGGGACATTCCTTTACTTTTTGTGGCAGTTAAAAAAATGATTTTATTTTTTAAAAATTCAGCCGCCATTTTCCAAAATGTCAGCCAACTTTGAAATTTCTTATGCAACACCCTGTATTTTATCATGTTTTCGGATAGATCATGCAATTTAAAAACTTTTTTATTCTTGACATTTTTTCGATAAACCCACTTGTTTAGGAGTTACAGCCTATGGAAAAATGACTTCCGGTGTCCATTTTACATCATGTAGCTCCCAAAAAAATAGGTTTTTAGCGAAAATGCGAAGTGTAAATAAGTCAAATAAGTCTTAAAATTGCATCCACATTCCATTAAGACCATAAAATACACATTTTTCCACTTTTCAAGTTTACCGCCATTTTGGAAAATGGCCGCCATTTTTAAATAATAGAATTAATATTTAAACAAATTTTATGGACTTTTTGGAATGTGGATGCATTTTTAAGACTTATTTGACTTATTTTCTCTCCGCATTTTCGCTTAAAACCTACTTTTTTTGGAGCTACATGATGTAAAATGTACACCGGAAGTCATTTTTCCATAGGCTGTAACTCCTAAACAAGTGGGTTTATCGAAAAAATGTCAAGAATAAAAAAGTTTTTAAATTGCATGATCTATCCGAAAACATGATAAAATACAGGGTGTTGCATAAGAAATTTCAAAGTTGGCTGACATTTTGGAAAATGGCGGCTGAATTTTTAAAAAATAAAATCATTTTTTTAACTGCCACAAAAAGTAAAGGAATGTCCCCCATTTAAAGTTTTCTCTAATTCTTACCGTTTCCGATATCCCAATGGTGGCCTCCTTGAGTTGATCACCCTTATAGTTCAGTACCTTAAATATGGTACCTAGTTATTTGATGTGAAAAAAAGGGTTTACACTTGGAAATTGGCTAGTTAAAATGTTTTATTGCTGCATACATTTCTTTACTTGAAAAACACCCTAGCCTATCTCAAAAATACTTAATAGAAATACATAAAGACCAGGGGTTGTTGTAGTATAACCAATCCATTCAGAAAACTTGGTAAAACTATTTAAAAATGGTATTGGTATTGAGAATAGGATTTTAGGTATCGGTATGAAGAATCGATAAATTTTGGTATCGACACATCACCAATTTCAACAAATATTTTTAATACTTCTGCTACATTATATATTATTTTGATTTGAATGTGTCCGGTGAAGTTTTTAGGGCTATAAGTCACTATTTGCAAAATTTAGTCAAAATCCTGGATTTCAAAGACATATATTACAGAAAGACAGACAGACAAACAGACATAGCTCATATTAGAGTATAATCAAAATTTTAATAAATGAAAAAACACACCTTTTTACCTTCCCTGTGTCAGCAAACCTAAGTAGGACTCATTACAAAAAAAAAAGGATTTAAAGGACTGTTCACACCGGCGTAGCCAGACGTATTTATACTTTTTCAAAATACATAGCTGACATAGCTCTTAATGTAGTTCATAGTGAGTGTTCACACCGGCGTACGTGAGCTACGGAAGCTACGGCGCTGCCGCTATGCCGGCTAGCTACGCGTAGCTCGCATAGCCGGATACGCGCATGCGCACTAGCACACCGGGGGGCTGTCACCGACACCCTCCCTCCACCACATAATTAATTTATAAGTAGTAAATTTTGGACTAAAACACAAAAATTCACTATCACTTAAAAAATCTTTCGCATTAATCTATCACATTAAAATTAGACTACCGGTATAACAAAACAATCTTAAGACAACTTTATATGATCAAAAAAATAATACTTCATCATACGAGTACCTGATGTCCAATAATTTTTTTTTGTTTATGCTTGCAAGTCTTATCAAAAACTATGTTTCTCTTAATATGGTTTATTATGGTTCATACATTGGGCTGACATTTATGAAACATTAATGAATTATTTCTAGACATAGGCCTGCATCTTTCTTACACCATAGACTATTTTATTATGTAATCCTTATGGATAAGCAAAATTATTGAATGTTTTCTGGTAATATTTTTTTATATTGCGCATATAGCGCAAATATAGCGCAAATCTTATAGTCTACTATAAACGGCCTAAAATTAAAGTGAAACATATTTGTCAACATTAACACATTAATCAACAGACTTTTCAGGGTACAAAAAAAAGCTGCAATTCAACCGTGGCAATCTTAACTGAAATTCAAGAAACACTAATTAAAATAAAAAAAATTGACAAGTATAAAATAATATAGTTTAAAAAAAAAGCAACAGCCGGCTCACCGGCTAGGCAGCTGTCAGACGTAGCTGCGGTGTGAACAGTGCACGGGCGACGTATTAATACACCGAATACGTCTGCAGACGTCTAGCTACGCCGGTGTGAACAGGCCTTAAATAGGAAATATGAAAATTTTAATAAGGGAATATTTAGGTAAAAATCTAGTCAGGTAGATGGAAATTCGCTTAGTCTACAGGTTTGCTGCGACAGGGGTATTAAAAAATACAACTATATTGTGTTTTAGTGCATGTCATGGATGGTTGCCAGCAGAAAAGCAATATTAGCTTTAGTACTAAACAAATTTACTGGAGTGTGTATTCACCATGATCATTTATCAGTTCAATCAGTGATTGCAGCAAAATTTTGAACATCTCTAATGTGCTCTGCAATGGTAAGGACATCATCGTTGTCTCTAACGATCGTGGCAAAATTGAGAAAACATCCCTCGCGATTGAGAAAACATCCTAATTGTCTTCCGTGATCACAGCTTAATCTTGAGCATACTTGGCCATTGCGAAGATATTATCATCGTATCCTGCAATCATGGCAAATTGAGATTATCTCCCATGATCACAAAGACATCATTATCTTCTCCCGTGATTATGAAGACATTATTATGGTATCCCCTGATTGCAAAGTCATTATTGTCTCCAGTGACCACTGCAAAATTATTCCTCAAAAATAGACAAACTGTTAGATAGTTAAATGTATCTTTGGTATAAGTAATTAATACATCAGCTGATTTATTATTATTAAGTTTGTTAGTAAATATTCTGTTTAGGTTGATGTGTTTAAGAAGTAAATAAAATGGTTCTTTTATATTTTGAATATCATTTAGTGTAACATTGTGGTGTCTACATTGGCGACGATGAGTAAACGAACCAAAAGAAGAAATAGTTATTTCAATGAAGAAGATAAGTATGAAACTAAAGAAGACGCATTACAATCAAAGATAGAGAAGTTCAAATGTCAAAGCTATGATGAGTCTAATAGGTGGGATCAAGTCAAGTCAAGTCAAGTCAAATAAATCTTTATTCAAACATACAACAATGTGTACATGAATGCGTCTTAATCTTAAACTATAACTAATACTAAAACCATTTTCCTGATCCATTTTATTTTTTTTACATATTTACATGTTTATTTACATATTTGAACATAGTGCAGTAAATTCTTCAAAATTATAAAACTCTCCACTAATTAGAAAATTCTTAAGCCTTTTTTTGAACTTATTTCCGTTTTCCTCATTTCTGATGCTACAAGGGAGGGAATGAAAAAATTTAACCCCAATATAATCAGGGCTTTCTTTAAATTTTTCTTTTTTATGCTTTTTAATTATAAAATTTTGTTTGTGTCTAGTATTGTAAGTATGTACATCTTGCTGTCTTTGCAGTTGCGACTCCCGGCTTTTAACATATAATATAGTCTTATATATGTAGAGGCTGTAAACTGTAAAGAATTCTAATTCTTTGAAACGATTTTTACATGATTCATTTTCATTTAAATTAAGGATGCACCTTATGGCCTCTTTTTGTAAATGTAAAATTTCATTTAAGTTATATTTATTCGTTCCACCATAAATTTCAATGCCATAAGCAATATGGGAGTGTATATTTGAATAATAAACCACACGCAAAATTTCTTTACTGCAAAGGGGATATAGTCGTCTTAAAGTAAAAATACCGGAGCTAATTTTATTACATATTTTATTGACATGTGAGGTCCACTTTAGTGTACTGTCCAAGGTTAGACCTAAAAATTTGGTTTCACATGCAAAATTTTCAAATATCTTTTCGCCAGACTTTTTACATTCAAATTTGATAAAGGTTGTTTTGTTTTCATTAAGTAAAAGGTTTTTTTCATTTAGGTAATCTCCAATTATTTTGAGCGAATCTTTCATTTTTATTTCAAGAAGTTCAATATTCTTTTCATGTATAGACATACTTATGTCATCTGCATACAAGCAGAGGGCATTGTTTTCTACCCGTTCAGATAAATGTTTTGGCATCCCTCCCAAGTAGCACAGGAACAGGAATGGACCCAACACAGATCCCTGAGGAACAGAATACTTAACTTCCCTAACATTAGATCTAACATTGTACATCTTATTTCCATCTAAATACCCAATGTTAACAAACTGTTGGCGGCCCTCTAAATAAGATTTTATCCAGTCCAGTTCTTTACCACTAATTCCATATGCTCTGAGTTTTTGCAGTAACTTTAAATGATTCACGCTATCAAAAGCCTTAGACATATCTAAAAAGGCGCCAACAACATAATTGTCCTCATCCAACTTATGTAATACATTTTCAATATAAGAAATTAGAGCTGTAGTAGTAGATTTATTTTTTCTATATCCATGCTGTTCTTGATCTAATAAGTGGTTATTTTCAAAATAATCTACTAGTTGAAAAAGTAAACTTTTTTCAAATAGCTTTGATAGAGCAGGTTGAATTGCCAATGGTCTATAGTTTTGCGGATCTTTTTTATCACCTTTTTTATATACTGGAATTATTTTTGATATTTTTAGTTGAGCGGGAAAAACGCCTGTTATTAGTGATGTATTAATCACATGTAAAAGTGGCTTTAACAAAACAGATTTTGATTCTTTAATAATTTTGATTGGAATTTCATCATAACCGGATGACCATTTAGGTTTTATTGAATCAATTATGGATGTCAAAATTGATTCATCGATGGTTTGACACCTAAATTTTATGTTTAAAATACTTTGATCAGAATGTTGTTGGGTTTTCTTTAATTTTGGTAAAACATTTTTGTCAACCATCTCAGCAAAATTATCATTTAAGATGTTTGCGACAGCATATGGTTCTTCTATTTTTTTGCCGTTATGTTTGAGTGAAATATTACTATGACATCTTTCTTTTTTACTTTTTGTTTCAGTGTTCACAATTTTCCAAACAGTTTTGTTAACATTGGTAGAATTTCTAATTTTATTGTCAAAATGGGTTTTTTTCTTAAGTTCTATCATATTTTTGTATCTCTTCTTGTGTTCCTTAATATAATTCTTCAATTATGAATGATTGAACAATGACAATTATGGATGATAATGAAGCACATTTTCTATTGTTATGCAAGGTAAAAGGATTGGGAGAAGATTCTCAGAGAGCAGAGAATGCTCGAAGGGATCTTTTGCTTGCCTATGTGGGTCCTACACCATTAAGAAAAGTTTCAAACTTTCTGCTGCCTTTAAAAGTACATCAGGCTACGTGGGCAGAACTAGTTAATGGTTTCAGGTCAAGTACAAAGCTAGTAAAACTATATTTTCAGCTAGAATGGAATTTGAAAAAGTATCAGAGAAAATAGTGAAAGCCTTTCAGAATTTGTAATACGTTTGAAATATTTAGCAGATTTTTGTAAGTATGAGAACAAGTTTGATGAAATAATAAGAGATAGATTTGCTGGAGGCATAAGTTTTCCAGAGTTTGAAGTAGAAATTAGACAACGATGGCCTGATGGGGTAAAAGAAAATGGTGACAAGTTAACATCTGAAGATGTTTTTGAACTGGCCACTTCAACGGAAAGAGCTCGTCATGAGATATTCAAGAATAATGATAAAGAGTTAGAAGTATCACAAGTAAGAAGAAACGATAAGGAGTTTAAAAGAGAAGTGAAATACAATGAAAAGACAAATCATCCATGTAGTAGATGTGGAACAAAACATGAATTTGGTAAATGTCCAGCCTATCAACAAAAGTGTTTGAATTGTAAAAAAAATAGGACATTTTGCAAAGGTATGTCGTCAAAAACGAGTGAATACTTTGCATGAAAAGTCAAAAGATGAAGAATCTGAATCGGACTCACAGGATATGAGGATAAACGATGTTAAAAAGGGAAGAAGACATATTTGTAAAGCACGTATTCATTTAAAGTTAAATAAGGTAGCTACAAACATGGGATTTGACTCTGGAGCTTGGGCCTCAATGATAGGTAAGCCTCTTTGGGAAAAAATTGGTTCACCAAAACTTGATAAGACTAATCCAAAATATGTGGCATATGGAAACAATATTTTAGATATACTTGGTGAATGTTATGTCAGTGTTTCAGTAGGTGATGAGACACGTAGATTAAAAGTAGCAGTAGTTAATGGAAATGAGAACCCGCGTTTTGGTTTACCATGGATATTAGCCTTCAATATGATACAAGACTTGTAAATGAGGATATCATTGAAGAGGTAGATCCTGCTGCTACACCTATTCCCTGGGCTACCCCAACAGTTAATGCAGAGAAGAATGATGGTTCATTAAGAATTTGTGGAGATTTCCGAGTCACTTTGAATCAAAATTTGGTCCCAGAAAATGCAATTATTCCGACATTTGAGGAACTAACAAACAAAGTTGCAGGTGGACAAGAGTTTTCCAAGATAGACCTACGAGATGCATACCTACAAATGGAGGTTGCAGAAGAACAACGAAAGTATTTAGTAATAGCAACGCATAGTGGTTACACTAGCGTCTAGACTGCCAGTGCAACTCCGAGCCCGAGGATCGTGGATCAGATCAGTAGATCACCCCCCACCACCGCACCATGTCGTACGCTTCCGAATCATACCGGCGCATCAGCATAGCTTATCTAACTGTTCGCGGAAAATTGTTATCTGTATCACTGTCGCTGTCAAAACTTATAATTTGTAGATTAAATTTGAATTAAATATAATTAAACTATCATAACCTAACAAAACTAACCAAACTTGCTGATAATGATAAACTCGAATGAAGGTTTACTAATAGAAAAATAGCTCTGTTCTAAAAATAAAATTATAAATGTCTCAAATCAAATTCAATTTTACAATCTTTTAATTATAAAATTAAACTGTCATAACCTAACCAAACCAACCAAACTTGCTGATATGAAAAAAATTGTTGACAAAAAGTTAGTGCTCCCGGTGGGATTCGAACCCGGCACCTTCAAATTATCAGCCCGACACGCTATCCACTACACCACAAAGGCTCATGACTCAGTTCTGTATCGTTGCAGTAATGGTTGACGTCACGCCATTGGCACTGAGCGGTGGTGGGGGGTTTTTCGATCTGATCCACGATCCTACGATCCTAGGAGTTGCACTGGCAGTCTAGATGCTTATTAGTCGTTACTATAGATACAAACGTTTACCTTTTGGAATATCATCTGGTCCAGGTATTTTCCAAAGATATATGGAAAGACTCTTAGCTGGAAAAGTTAAAAATAAAAATGGACTGTACTCATATGATGTACTTTGTGGAGGTGTTATGAAAAGGAAACATGCATACCAGATGAGACCAAGAATGGGAGCTGTTGAATCTGTGTAAAAAGAAAGAGGGGAAAAGTGTTAGATAGTTAAATGTATAAGTAATTAATACATCAGCTGATTTATTATTATTAAGTTTGTTAGTAAATATTCTGTTTAGGTTGATGTGTTTAAGAAGTCAATAAAATGGTTATTTTATATTTTGAATATCATTTAGTGTAATTCTACAATTTCCATCAACTATCACTTACAGTTTTTAAAATATAAAAAAACGGTGAATTGGAAAAACGGAATAGCTTGATGAGACTTTTAAGGCCCATTTATGACTACTTCTATTAATTTACTTTTAGTTTATGACTAGCGGAGAATGCACTGTTTTAGGTGGAGGAAGAGGAGGTGGTGGAGGAGGTGGTAGTGGAGGAGGAGGAGGAGGAGGTCCAAGAGTGATCATAAGAACAACTGAAATAGTAATATCGAGAAACAAATCAAAATAACATTCAACCTATAAAGCACCAGACCTTTTATTTTCTAATATGCTGTATTTAACAAAGAACTGTAGTATAGCTAAATAGTGTTATTAAAGAACAATGAACTCTTTTGAGAATGATTGGAACCTTTATTTAACCCAACAGTTACGCTGTTAGTTATACCTACTGGATGATAAAAATAACTAACAAACAAAATAAGTTACGAAATGGAACTGGAAATTGTATTAGCATTACTACAATTTATTAAAGTTACCATTGTATTAAGTAATTTTATTATTACTCAGAGGGTTAATAAATAAATACTCCCGCGGTCAAGTGGATAAATAGTTTGCAAAATTTCAACTGCTGACTTCAACGTGGAATATTTAGAAATGTACTCGTAGACATTGTAAGAAAGAAAATTAATCAACACGTTAAGTTTCCTCAGTAACTTCCGAGTCAGATATGAAATTTTCAAGTGTCCTGAACCATTGTTTGAATGCTCTACTTGCAGAAGGATTTTCAGGATTTATATCAAACCTGTCTGGTTTTATAAGCCTTTCCATTTTGATTTTGATTATCTTAATAAATTTAAGTTTATTAAATTTGTTGTGAATGAGAATGACTGAACCTTTTTAGAAAATAAGGCTTTAATAAACTTAAATTCCATAGCTGAAAAGGTAAACAAATCTCTAATACAAACGAAAAGTAAATAAATGCATCAGCTGATTACTAAGAACAGTTATTCATAATAGGCGGCATCTTTCTATGAAGAGGGTATTGAAAAGTTTGTTCCTCGCTACGAGAAATGTCTAAACAATGGTGAAAACTATGTAGAAAATAGTTAAATTACAGATGAAAAAGAAATAACATTCTGTATTTAGCTCATCAAGCGTAGAAACCGAAAGATTTGCAACACCAATCTAATATGATGAATTGCTCGTCTTTTAAAACTGAATTTAACATTTGGGTACACCATCTTTAAGGTAGGTTGATAAAGGTTTTTAAATATATCCTCTTTCTTGTAGTAATACATTCTGTTGAAAAACACAATAATCTATATGATTTTTTCTAAAACGGTACTTTCTTTCTGGACAAGCCTTGAAGTTTGGTCATTTTACTATACTTACAGATGAAAAAGAAATAACATTCTGTATTTAGCTCATCAAGCGTAGAAACCGAAAGATTTGCAACACCAATCTAATATGATGAATTGCTCGTCTTTTAAAACTGAATTATTTAGTGATTTTTTTTACCAATTTGGGATAAACATCTCAACTACCGATATTTGAGGCAGAAAGCCACCAACTAGAATTGGACGGTGAATTGAGGATGTGGATTTTGGATCAGAGACATGGACAAGTACTCCATTCTCATTACTGTGCCAAATAAAGCCCTTACCTCGTCATCCATAGCAAACAGTTCCTCCAACGGTATGTCAGTGGTGGGAGGTCGACCTGGACCTCTGCCTCCCGTCGAGTTGGCTCTCTTGAACACAGCTCTCTCAGCATTCTGAGAACACATATACACTTGTTTCAACTGATATGAGAAACTATGTTTTACCTTAACTGCATAATAAAAATACCCCCGTCGCAGCAAACCTGCATACTAAGCAAATTTCCATTTACCCGGCTTGATTTCTACTAAAATATTCCCTATAAATTTTCAGATTTCCTATTTAAATAACATTAATTTTAGTGAGTAGTTAGGTTTGATGCTACAGGGAAGATATTGAGGTGTGTTTTTTTTTTTTTTTTTTTTTTTTTTTGAAATGTTGATAGCTTAGTATGAAATAAACCAAATTGCCAAATTTGATTAAAATATATCCATAAACAAGCAAACTACAACAGTTTATTTATTCTCCATAAGAATAACATGGGAATTTTAAATTTACAATTTTTTAAATTTTCTCCGTAGTCAATGAACATTCAAAAACACTTCAATATACTAAATTATTTGTTTTTTTAAGCTCTTCAAAATGGAGAGAAATTTAGAAATTAAAAGTTTTTAGGGTCAAAAATGGGAAAAATCAATTTTTACCCCATAAACCCCTGTTGCCATAGTCTGATTATGCTGGTTCACGAACTCGTTCGAATAAACATAGGTTTACACGTTTGTACTAAATTTCATCAATATTGGATCATTTTTGCTCGAGTTATCGCGCTAACGGACACATATATAAATATATATATATATATGAATTTGAACGGATGGTGTTTTTGGCCTATGGGGACCTCAAAATGAAAAAGTAAATCGGTCCCGGGTCTAGGTCTTACCATGAGACCTACGGTAATAGCTTATTCCCTATATGGGAAATTCGCTAAAAGAGGATATTAAAACATTTGGGTACACCATCTTTAAGGTAGGTTGATAAAGGTTTTTTTTTAGTCTCTAGCTCAGAACCGTTCTTCACATTACTTCAGGCTATGCCAACAGGCATTATCACATGGTTCAAGCTAATAGTGATTGGCAGGATTTGAACCCGAGCACCTCAGGACCGAAGCTCTGTGCTGTACCACTAGACTAGATTAATTTGTACAGCCATACTCATATTGAATCATGTAAATAATTTTGATGTTAACGTGCTACTATCCCAACTTGCATTCAAGTTTTTTGTAAGCATCAAAGTCACTCAAATCCTGAAGTATTTTAAATAGATAAGGCAACACTCTAGTTTCATCAATATATTCAATTACCTTTAACACAATAACTATTAAGATCTCTGGACTTAAGTAAATATAAGAAATAGTACCTACTACAACAAGTTTCGGCCATAAATTATTATTCCATCAAGAAATATTATCAAGATACTAAGGATGTACCTATCAGTAAAGTGTACTACCAACCTTCTGCTGGTTCTGTAATGTCAGAATCCCATTGAATTTGTCACTGTTGACTGTAGGTGTGTTGGTTCTACTGCTAGAAGAGCTTTCAACTCCACTGTCAGCACCAGTAATACTCTCAGGTTCCTAAAATCGTTAAAACACGTTGAAATATGAACAAAAGAACATTATGTTTTCAAAAGGTTAATTATCTAAAATGTAAACCCCCATCTATTCCTGAAGTAAGGACCCATACCTAAATGAACGATGCACTTACTACGCAGAATTAACTATATGTTGTGTACCTCAATAAGTGGGATTTGAGAAGGATTCAGTGTGAATGCTTCGCACGGGTCGGCTAGTTTTATATTATTTTATTTGTATTAAGTAATACAAATTAAAGTAAAGTATAACTACATGGAAAACAATTTCATGGTTACTAAGTTGGATGGAAATGGTGTTTTTCTTCTAGACGGTAGGTAATCAAGATAAATTTTACAAGCCATTCTAAAGCTCTGCAATGGCTATCCAGGCAGTAAATAAAACTTTGTCCACTATCTTGGAATCAGAATGTTTTAAGTTCAGTACGGTACCACTAGCCCAATTTAGTATGTTTTATTCTTACGTTAAAACAGGACAAAAATACGGATTTAAATTGATTGCTATATTTCTATGTGTACATAAAAAAGGAAAGGGAAAGGAAAGATGAGTGAAAACCAAGTGAAGCAGTGACCCATTGATTTTATAATTGCTGAACCAATGTCCAATGTTCACTACGGTAGGCTTAGTTTGCATGAAACTGATAAAACTGTAGTGAAAATCAATGAAAAACATATTACAATCATATTGTTGAATGCAAAAAAATTCCCTCAAATTCCATTGAGTTTAATTTGAACAGTTTTATAGAAAAGAGAAACCATATTCTGTCAACACACATCATGACTATATGACCCCGAGTTTCAGAAAATATAATACAGTAACTCCACTTTGGGAAAAAAATTATAACAAATTACCAGAACGTATAGAACCCATAGAAACAATAGACAAATTCATAAAAAAGTGTCTAAATTATTAGACAAGACATATTACAATGTTAACTTCTTTATGAATGATGTGTTGACTTAATTTTAGTAATTTAATATAAAGAGTCTTTTTAGTCCTTAGGTTTGGATTTTAGTACTTCATTACAATTCCACCTGTATGTCAGCTTTAATGGATTTTATGTTATGTAAGAATTTAATGTTATTTGAAAATAAAGGATTGACTATTGACTGTTGACTATTGACTATTGACCACTACTCACCCCCACCCTAGGTGTAAACTCAGGATCAGATCTGAGAAGGATACAGAGGTTGGTGATTATCTTGGTGTTGGGACATGGCGTTCTGTCAACACACATCTTGACTAGATGGGCCAAATGAGTAGCAGAAAGATTCTGAAACAACAAAATTAAATTACTCTACCGGTAATTAAAAGTTACAGAGACATAAATTCCAAACAGGAAATAAAATTGTGTTCTCAGAACAGGCTAGGCCTATCCGTAAAACCAGCCACACTCAAATTTCCTCGGAGTGCTCAGAAGAAGCCGATAAAATTTTAATATTACATGTCATTCATTCATCATTAATATTAATTTCTCTATTATTTTGCGTGTTTTCTCCTATAATGTTTTTTAATGCCCCTAATAAAGTGTTATGAATTATTTAAAATGTTTCTCCTTGTTAAAATGTGTTATTTTATGCAATTTGTTAAATGTTATATAATATCCTATCAGACCACAGAAATATCATCCTTTATTTTATGTTACAACTACAGTAGAGTCCCGATAGTCCGAAATGGTTGGGACTGGACCCATTTCGGATTACCGAATATTTCGGATTAAGCGAAATTTTTACTAAAATGCACGTAACTATGAAATACAACGTTTAAGATTGCCCACTGGCCTACTAACAACGAGTCTATCCCGCCCAGCTGCTCGGATATTACATAATACTTTGACGAAGTGCAACTAAGTGTCGTAACACAACAGTGCTAGCAGTTTCGGCTTTTTCCGATAGGTGACAGCACGTACTGGGTCACTTTATGTGTCTGCATTAATGGCGTTACACGATGGTGCTAGTAGTTCCAACTTTCCCCGATAGGTGGCAGCACGTACTGGGTCACTTTTCGTGTCTGCATTACCGGCGTTACGCGATGGTGCTACTGTAGTACAGTACAGTAGTTTCAGCTTTCCCCGATAGGTGGCAGCGCGTACATTTATGTACACTTTGTAACGTTATCTTTTGAGGTTGTGAGTGTGGTGAAGAAATGGCTTCAAAACGTAAACATACTTCGGTTACATTGCAAGACAAACTTGAAGTGTTAAAACGATTGGACAATGGTGAAAGTGCGTCAAAATTGGCTGTTGAGTTTGGTGTGGGGAATGCTACGATCACCGACTGGAAGAAAAACCGTTTGAAAATAGAACAGTTTTGTATTGCTTCCACAAGTAAGTGTACAAAATCCCGCCATACAGCGAAAACAACACCACTGGAGAACCTCGACAGTGCTTTGTTTGTTTGGTTTTCTCAAGAGAGAGAAAAAGGTACCCCGATTAGTGGACCCTTGATCAAAGAAAAAGCTCTACAGCTAAATGAATTATTGAACGGAGACACATCTTTTTCTGCTAGCACAGGTTGGCTTGATCGTTTTAAGAAGCGTCACGGCATACGACAATTAGCCATTACGGGTGAACGTCTATCGTCAAATGAGGCTGCTGCAACCGAATACGTTTCAGATACATTTGCTGAACTGATTGCTGAAGGAAACTATTCACCGCAGCAAATTTACAATGCTGATGAAACTGGGCTTAATTTTAAGGCATTGCCTAAAAAAAGTCTGGCTTCTAAAGAAGAAATAAGTGCACCTGGTTTAAAAATAAGCAAGGAAAGATTGACAGTTTTGGCCTGTAGTAATGCTGCAGGAAATCATAAACTCCCTTTAATGGTTATCGGCAAAGCAGCAAAACCAAGGGCATTTAAAAACCTAAATATAAATGCATTGCCTGTCGTCTACAAAAACTCCAAAAATGCTTGGATGACCTCAGCACTATTTAAGGGATGGTTTAACGACCACTTTGTTCCCGAAGTCACTCGATTTTGTAACGAAAATGGCTTACCGGTTCGAGCATTACTTTTTCTCGACAATGCAACCTCTCACCCGTCAGACGACGAATTAATAAGTGGAGATATAAGGGCCGTGTTTTTACCACCGAATGTGACCCCTTTGATCCAGCCAATGGATCAACATGTACTACAGCATGTGAAGCTCTCATATAGGAAAAAGTTGTTGAGAAGAATACTGGAAGATCAGGACGAAACGCTCTCGTTGCTTCAAAAGCTCAAGATGGTAAACATTAAAGACGTCATTTATTGGGTAGCAGAAGCATGGGAATCTACAAGTGAACAACTGTTGAAAAAATCTTGGAGTAAACTGTGGCCAAGCCTAACTTTTGAGGACAACTTGAATCAACATGAAGAAAGAAACAATGTTGTGCAGGTGCAGGAGCTGTTACAAAACATTCCTGGGTGTGAGGACACTAATGCAAATGACGTGAATGAGTGGTTACAAGCTGACGACAATGATCATGAAGTTTTAAGCGATCAGCAGATCGTTGAAAGGGTTTTGAGGGAACCAGAAAACATCTCAGACGAGAGTGAAGGCGAAGCTGACGACGGCAGCGAGCAGAGAGTATCCCACTCGGACGCGGCGGCTGCCTTTGATCTAGCGCTACGTTACGTTGAACAACAGTCCGTCTCGACCCCAGCCGATACATTGTTTCTAAGGCGTTGGCGTCATTATGCTTCTAAAGAGAGATCCTCTAATCTTCGTCAACAAAATTGTAACAGACTTTTTTAAACCAACTTAAGACATTCAGTTCAACACTATATGTAAGTTTCAAACACTGTCTTTACTGTACTATACATTTGAAAAGTAGGCTACTTGCCATTCTATTATTCACTGTTTTTTCTATTAATAAAGCTAACCGTTTTTCACTTTTAACATTTTTTTGAATATCCTTTTTTCCAAAAAAAAAAAAAAAAAAAAAAAACACGTTTTCGGATTAAGCGGACTTTCGGATTACCGAAGTTCGGATTATCGGGACTCTACTGTATAATGTTTATGTCAATTATCGCAATATCTTTCTTGTACTTATCAAAAACCAACAATAATAAAATTTACTTAGAATAATATATCATTGTAAGAAAATTGCAATATAACAAAAATCTTAAATATAGTATTTTTTTTTATTAGTCCAAATAAAATCAAAAACCAACAATAATCAAATTTACTTAGAATAATATATCATTGTAAGAAAATTGCAATATAACAAAAATCTTAAATATAGTATTTTTTTTTTTTTTATTAGTCCAAAGAAAATCAAAATTACTGTGGCAAGTGTTATTTATGTGAATTCACCAGCTGTACCTTTCAACAATGGACATGTGACTTCCAGAGCTTCAACCATTGCCTCTCCCCAAATCCTGCCAACTCTTTACAATGTTAGGACATTGTGCCTAATTCAAAAGTGTGGTCTAATTTTTAAATTGCTTAGTACCAAAAGTATTACGGACAAGTGCCTAGAAAAGTACCAAATTTAAATCCAGAGCCCTAAATTTATTTACTGCTTGTGGTATAAAGGTGGAAAGACACGAGACTCCAAATTGGTAACCATCATCCGCTGGGCCGTATTTAGAATCTATGAGGCCCCCGGCAGCTCTTTATATTCTGATTCTTCGAATAGAGGTATGTGTGCGTGGTATTGCTTCAACTTGATGAATTAACCTTTTGTTTCCAACAATCTAATAAACATAAAGGCCTAGGAGACTAGCAAATAAATAAGTCTATTAATTTTTTGCGCGGGCGCTGAGACTTTGTCTAAGTCTTCTCTAATCATGGCGGAACATGAACGACTCATGCAGCAGCTGAGAAATGGTGAACATCTTGTGCGATCGGTGGGACATCTTTGTCTTCTCCGGTCACGGTGAAATCATTAACGCGATGGCCGTGGAGAAATAGTTAGCATCTTGCGCGGGCGCTGAGACGTCATCTTTGTCTCCTCCGATCGGGGTGGAATCTTGATCAAAACATGTGGCCACGGTGAAATAGACATCATCATTGTCTCCCGCGGTCACAAAAACATGATTGTTGTCTCACACGATAGCGGCAAAATCAGGAATATCTCACGCGGCCGTGTAAATGTCATCTCCGTCTCCCGCGGTCTTGAAAATGTGATCGTCATCTTGCACGATAGCGGCAAAATCATTAATATCTTCCGCGGCCAAGTAGACATCATCATCGTCTCCCACGGTCACGAAATCGTGATCGTCGTCTTACGCGATAGCGGCAAAATCATAAACATCTCCCGCGGCCGTGCAGTTATCACCATCATCATCGCTCATCTCCCGCGGTCGCGACCAAGAAAAAAAATTTCAGGCCCCAAGTGAGGCCCCCTCTTTGGCTGAGGCCCCCGGCAACTGCCGTGTCCGCCGTTAGGGAAATGCGGCACTGATTTCATCCATCTTGTTATAACTAACTAATGACAAATGTTCATTGGAAATTTTAAACCAGCTTAGCCTAATAGGCCTAATAATAACTTAAGTTCATCAAGATCTACATACTGTACTTCAAATTGAACCGTTAGTCTAAATTTAATCCTCAAATCTTATTTTATTACATTAATTTCAATGAAATCATTCGGCATCTTTCTTTGGACATTGATATATTACAATATCATAATAGACTTAGTCTATTTCAGAGCAACAATTAACTTAAATTATCTGTATTTGTAAGTTAAAGCCTAATATACGATTCGAACCGGCACGACCACCCCTTCCTGAGATTAAAGAGCTTAATTTATATTTATTTATAGTTATAATTATTAAATTATCACTTATAATTGAAGAAACAAACACATGTAACTAAAGCCTAGAATCTTTTTATCCGCTTTTGGAAGCCCCGCCATTTTGTAAGTTACCATTGTTAGTCCCATAGAATTCAACAAATATATTTGTAATTCTCTTAATAAATCTTATATTGTAACTTACTAAACCTATTTATTCTTTTAAGTAATTCACCTATTATAAGATTAAAATTAAGACTTACCTCATCAGACAAATAAATAAAACAAGTTAGGAATAATCTTTATTAAGAAATAGAGTTCAATGTGGGCTAAGATAACAACCAAAGGAATTTTGTAAATCTCTTAAAGAGCCAGCCAACAATAATAAATAGACATTTCAAGAAAGCTTTCCTGTGTGTAGCAAAATCCAGGGGTTGAATACAAATTAGTTCAAACCAAGGGTCTGCAGTTTTAACTTACTAATTTTGTAGTTTTATTGAAGGCTCAGAGCTCTAGAAGTGCTAACGAAATTCTGCAGATGCTCAAGTTGAGCTATATCATCCTCGCTCTCGTAAATGTGTTTTGAGAATTTTACCTAGCTTTTGTAACGTAACGACTCTGTAGGTCTGATGAGTTTTCCATCCTGGCCAATTTGATTAAACTACTTGTCTTACTCGTTACTTGAAACACTATAATGTGTATCAGGTTCCAAAGTGAGACTAAAGTAAAATTTAGTAAAAACAATATTTCAATACAAGATTAAAATATGTTTCTGAAGACGATTTTATAAATTTCATAAAGAATAAATTAAACTATACAGGGTGTTGAAAATGTCTGGAACCAGCATTATATCTGGTGAGTGGTTAAAGAAAAACAAATGATATTTTGTGTACGGATATACTATGGTTTTACCTATCTTTTGGTGCCTTATGACATTTTTTACCACTTATAGGGAACGTCCTGTGGAGGATGCAGTAAAAAGTTTTAATGGAAGCCTATGGTAAATGATACATCATTTAAAAGGCCATTTTTTTCTGAGTAAGGAGCCACAAGTTTCATCTCAAAAGGACCACCCTAGCGAAAATGGTGACTGTTTGAAGTTTTTGAAAATAATTGAATTTTAAATTTAAAACAGTCGCCATTTTTGCTAGGGTGGTCCTTTTGAGATGAAACTTGTGGCTCCTTACTCAGAAAAAAATGGCCTTTAAAATGATGTATCATTTACCATAGGCTTCCATTAAAACATTTTACTGCATCCTCCACAGGACGTTCCCTATAAGTGGGTTTTTAAATTTCAAACCGTCGCCATTTTTGCTAGGATGGTCCTTTTGAGATGAAACTTGTGGCTCCTTACTCAGAAAAAATTGGCATTTAAAATGATGTATCATTTACCATAGGCTTCCATTAAAACTTTTTACTGCATCCTCTACGGGACGTTCCCTATAAGTGGTAAAAAATTTCATAAGGCACCAAAAGATAGGTAAAACCATAGTATATCCGTATACAAAATATCAGTTGTTTTTCTTTAACCACTCACCAGATATAATGTTGGTTCCAGACATTTTCAACACCCTGTATAAAACAAATATAGGAATGGTCTTTTAACTTGGCGGTTATGACACGAAAAAAGATGGACAGAAGGGGGAAATATTAAAGTTATTAAAGCAAATATCTCGAGAATTAAAAATTATTTCTGTCCCAAACCGATCCCTTACCATTCTCTTGCCAACTGCAGGCCACACCAAAAATGCCTGCAATGCAAACCCTCAATAAAACGTGAGCTAGATAACGAGTATGTAATATCACTAGTAAAATGGATGCACCCAATCACTATTTTTTTTAAACCTTTGGCACTTTGTATTCTTAATCGTGAATTGAGTTAATAACTTTTATCCTCCCTCTTTTAACTAGGTAAAGGGTCATAAAATACTGACTGTACATTATTCACTATAAAATTAAAATATGAACATTTGGTGGGAAATTAATAGTGCGAGACAACTTAGTAGAAAAATTACTGACACAAAATATTTACTATTCAACAATATTTTTAAATGACATTGTAAAGTTTGCCGTTAATATTACTGTTTGTGCAGTGTACACTCGTAGCATGGGGCTGAACAACATAGCCTACAATACCTGGAGTATCTCATTCTTCTCACGTTTCACAGAGTCCATCAGAGGTTTAATTATGAGTGTCAACTTCTCAGGAAGACATCTCAACATCAACACAGCTCCAACAAGAGCAGCCTGCGTCCTGTACAACAAACATAATGATCAATGGTAGCTGTAAAGTTGTAGCTAAATATTGTCAGCCGGAAAAGAAGTGGTTAGAGTGAACCATCAAGATATTATTTTCATACAATTACACTAAACAGCTTCATTTAAGCCTTTATAAAAAAACAAACTCTCTACCCTACTATCTTATGATGCAGCACATTGGAGCTAACAATTAGTTATGTTAATGCAGCTAACTGTCAAAGTTGTGAGTTGAAGGTAGACTGACATTTACCTAGTTTAGACAAACAGTAACAACAACTTACGAGACAGTCAACAGCTGTTGGTCGGAGGCAGTTTGACTGACAGCTCCTTGTATGACTCTGCGTCGCTCCTCCAGACTCTCTGCGACTTTGGGCTTCAGTTTGTTGGAGGTCAGCAGCTGAGATGCCACAGGCCCTGCCAACTGTTGTATCTGATCTAGAGTCAGCACCTGGGCATAAAATATCTCTTTAAAATCTTTCTCTTATATCTCTTATCTTGGAATATTGGAAAAAATGTGATCAAAATAAAAATATTTAGCAAGTTTTGAGTTTAACTCACACCAGGGCTAGAAATGAGTGAACATTTACCAAATAAAAACCCTTAAATTATTTACAAAAAACTACTACAGTTGAACCTCGTTTGTACGAACCTCAATAAAACGAATTCCTCGATAAGACGAATTTTTTTAATCCCCTTGACACTTTCATATAGGTCAATGCTAAAGACACCTCTATACAAGGTAGTAATTAAGTTAAAAACCTCCATAAGACGAATTTGTTTGTGACATGGGCTAGGACTGATTAACCTCTATACAACGAATATTCTTAGCACAAAACCTCTACAAGACGAACGTGACCTCTATAAGACGAATTTATCACAATCTTAACCTCCATAGTACGTAGTTTTCAAAACAAACAGAAGCTTGTCTCAACATGAAACCCCCACCCATCCCTCCTCCTTCCTCAGTCATTGTTTGGAGAAACCTTGGAGCAAGGAGAAACCTCTATAAGAAGAATAACAGCAGCATTAAACCTCGATAAAACGACCCTCTTTATTAAGAATACCTCTATAGTACGAATTCTTCCCGTACCCCTTGAAATTCGTCTAATAGAGGTTCAACTGTACCACAAAACTAGACTCAACTAGACCATTGAACCCTCCTGGAGTATAGAACCTGGACTTTTTCTGTCTACCTGACTCTTGTTTACTGATTCCTTTTGACCTCTTCATAGGTTTTTCCTTTCTTCTTTTATTCTTCTAGCAATGTCCTTTCTCGTGTGTTTCTGGGTCTATACACTATCCAGTTAATTTACCAAAACTAGGTTCAAATTTGAAATAAAACATCTCACCATCTTAGTAAACCTACCTTTCCGTACTGTTCGCTATGGAACGGCAACTTATAGTGTTTTAAGGTTGCGATAAAATCCCTTGTGTCTTGCAGCAGTCGAGTAAACCCGAGCGCAATCTCATCATAATATACTGCTTCCGCGAGACAAGCATGCAGCCGAGAGGAGAGCACAGAGGGAGGTGGCTCAGGAGGAGCGAGTCTGCCCCACTCCGCAATCACTAGCCCCGTCACCAACCTCTGTACAGCCGACTTGGAGTTGAGGTAGACTAGGAGGACCTGTACAAACATTAACAGGTTTATTTAAAATATAATTATTGTTTATAAAGGATTTTAATAAACTGTTGCATTGATGGAAGTATTAACACATTGGAACAAATGTCTAGGTCAAGCTTATTAGCTAGTAACGGTTTGTCTTACCCAGGGTATAAGATAATCTTGAAGAATGAGAAATTTACCTTAACGTAGCACTCGATTGGTGTTTCTATTTCAGGTGTGTAAACAATGCCTGGCGCTGGCTTCACTATGTAACATGACAGCAAACCTGGACAGATAAAGATTTGGTTTTGTAATTGGTTAAGAGTACATTAAACCACTATTAGGGTCCAAACAAAAGACTTTATCATTAGCAGAAAGGTGCAAGTTAGGGCACAAATGGACAAGCATTTGTATATCATACAATAGAAAAACAGCTGCTTTTAACACTTATGTTTCAGAGCTTCCCCATGCTAGAAAAAATAATCTGAAGTTAAAGACAATTGCTATTTTTCTCACTTGTAAGCCATGTCCGCTGGTTTTACGACAGAAAATGGGGTACTGATTAATGTTGTTATAAAAATTTATTGTGTTTACTATTGGATTGTATATTTCACCACAGTAAATGCTACTTCATTAGTATTTAGACAAATTGAAATGCGACTTACTGGTGACCAATAACAGACAATAAGTAACTCTACGGTCTAACTACCTAACATCCTGGCCGCCATACACCTGCACCTCATGACGTTCTGTTCCCGTGTAGCAGCTGGTGTAGTCTCACTGCCACCTAGATACACCTTCAGCTCACTTGCCACCTGCTCCTTCTCTATGTTACGCTTGCCTTTCACCTCCTGTCAACACAAGTACATTGAACATCAGCCGATATTTGTAAAGTCTGATGTATCAAATGTTGTAACATTGACTGTATAGTTTGCTGTTGCTGTCAACATAAAAAACATTAAACATTTTGCAACTGTTTGGTCTAAGCATATTTTGCAGTTTAAAAAGCAGACTAATAAGCCTGCAACATTGAGCTCCTGGATGCTCATTACTAAAATATGAAAATTACTTTGAACAGTAAATATTGCTTTGATACTTGCTTTAAAATATTGGGCTACACCTTAAATTAGTTTTTAATTCTCAAAATGTTACTTAAGCGCCGAGGAAATCACTGAAGAGACTTACAGATCTTGTTTGTATGAGAGCGGAAGGTTCAAAGTGCATTTTGGCAGGCTGCATGGCGAGACACAGCCAACAACTGACAAAGGGACAGACTGCAACAAGCAGCGAACTCAACTGACTGTTGTGCACCAGATTGTTCCATACCTAGAGAAACACAGCTATTGTACAAACAAACACCCAAAATAGTTACAGGATTTTCAATGGAAATGTTTACCCACAAACCCAGAGTCTTGAGTGTGGGAAAGAGTTCTTTGTCACTCAGAATGGAGTAAAAAATACATCAGTACACGACTTAGATCTAAAAACACTAATTTTGACACTCTATTTTGTGCATGAATATAATTTATATTTAACTTTCTATAGTTTAAAAAAATGTACACTTAGAACCTTGATAACAAGACTCTCATAGGAATTATAAAATAAGACTTGTTATCAAGGTTGACTTCTTATCGAGGTTTGCAATAACATGTGATCAGGGGTAAAATAATTTCAAGAGGATTTTAAAATGACCTATGTTATCAAGGGTGACTTGTTATCGAGGGTCTTGTTATCGAGGTTCTACTGTATCAACACACTGCAGACTACACAAATTCTTTTCTTCTTGTAATGAAAGATGTGAATTTTGTTTTTGTTTTTGAATTGATTTTTTTTAGTTAGACAGTGTCATTGGCCACCTGAGTGGTAGGGAAAACCTATGTGAAAAATAATATCCAAACTGTTGTGCAACAGATCACGGGGACTAGTAAAGCTGGCCACCTGACCAATTTGCGACATCTAAAATTGTCTTTTGGGTTGCAAACGGTAAAAACATCACCCCAATCAACTAACCCGCTCCACCAGAGCCTGTGTCTCCTGTACAGGTTCTATCAGAGCACGTTGATACACATTCCTTAGTGCCTCAGTCAGCAGTGCTGAGCTCCACGAGGCTACTCTCTCCTCAGCAGCTGTCAGTGTCAGCAGAGTCTGCAGTGTCGCGCGACGTACAGACGATGAGCTGTGCGAAAGGAATGGCCATAGCCGCGCGACCACACACTCCTCCGCACTGCATGACGGATAAATTCAAAATTATATTCAATGACTTATGAGAAGTTAGAAAGATAGATGCAATTGATAAGTCAAATTCAAAAATCAAAAGTGTAGATTTATCAAAAATATTTTAGTGATAAAAGATGAATTCTGAATGGTTATAGGACTGAAAAGAGAAATAAATGTATAAAAAATAGAATAATCTTGTGCTTCTAGCTTATTTTTGCACAGTTAAGTCCTGCAAACTCAGGATCACAAGGTTTCAGTAAGTTGCACAAAAACTAACGTCCTTAATTTTATGACCCTGCAATCTGGTAAATTGCAACTCGGTTATGTGTGTATTATGTGATCTGGAATGTGATTTAGGAATTTAATACCGTTGTATGAAGTTTTTTTCTTAAACAATTCTAATTTATGATTTAGTAAAACTACTTTATTTTTATTCCTAGTATCGTAGTCCTGGATATCTTTATCTACAACTATACAATACTAGGAATAAAAATACAGTAGCATTACCAAATCTTAAATTAGAATTGTTTAAATTAAAAAGATTTTTGAAACCTGAGAGCCTGTGAGTTGAGTTGGTATTAATATTCTTTAAAAACATGTGTTGTTTATTATTAAAGAATGACAATTGATTCTCATTCTACTCATAACATGGGCTTTGTTAAATAAAATAATACTAATTTCTTTATCCAACTTTTATTGTTTTTATTTGGTTATGGGCTACAGAAAATATTAAAAGAATGGATTTAAGAGTGAATGTTGAAAAACTAAGCAATTCTCAATCATGGAGAAGGTGGAAGCGCCAGATGGAATTAGTTTTGAGACATCATGGAATTAGTGATCTGATTACTGGTGAAAGGACAAGGCCTGAAGAAACAGAGGAGCAGAAGCTTAAGGATTTTAAGAAAGGTGACACCTTAGCTCAGGTACTTATTGTAAATGCTCTAGACGATTCACATGTAGAATTAACAGCTACTTGTGATAGTGCACATGAAATGTGGCAGAAGCTGTTGAGTATATATGAACAATCATCAAGTCAGAGACTAGATAGAACAATGGAACAGTTCTTTACATCTAGTATAACTGATGGAGAAGATTTGATCAAATATATCTCAAGATTGCAGTTAAACTTCAGAGAAGTGAATGATGAACTTAAAAAGCATAAAGCTTCAGAACTGCCAGAACTTGTGTTGATGTCAAGGATTATGAGTACACTACCTAAAGAATTTTTTGAGTTCAAGAGTGTATGGGAAAGCATACCAGTGAAAGACAGAAGTGTTGATTTGCTAATAGAGAGAATTCGTCTGATTGAGTCCAGGCTACCTAGGTCTATGAATTCTGATAATGGACAAGCCTTACAGGTTAGTAGAAATAGCACAAGTTCATTCTCAGAAGGCAAAAAGCATTCTATAAAGAAGAAAATAAAGTGTTTTATTTGTAAGGGACCACACTATGCTAGTCAGTGTCCAAAGAAATCAGAAAAAGAAGACAAGAACAAGACTGAGCCTAGAAAATGTAACAGTGGTCCATTCTTGTGTTTTGTAGCAAAGGAGCACAAGAAAGACAACTTTATTGCAGACTCTGGAGCATCGCAGCATATGTGTTTCCGGAGGGACTTCTTTCACACATATCAGAGGTTTACTTCACCAATTAACGTCACTGTGGGAAATGGTGATGATATTGAGGCAGTTGGAGAGGGAAGTATTCGAGTAAGTGTGAATATTGGTAAGAACCGATACATCACAACTTTAGAGAATGTATGGTACGTTCCCAAGCTAGGAAGGAACCTGATGTCAGTCAGCACAACAGTGAAGAAAGGATTTAGTTTCAAAGTAACTAAAGAAAAATGTGTCTTCATGAAGAATAACGTTGCACAGCTGTATGGACATTGTGTAAATGGACTCTATGAAGTTGAAATGGATGTTCTGTTGCCGCATGCAGAAGCTAAAACAGCGTGTAGTAGTAAACTGAAAACTGTCCAAGAGTGGCATGAATCTCTGGCTCATCAAAATAAGACACATGTGTTAAAAACTCTTAAAAGCAGAGGAATACATGTCAAGGTAGAAGATGAATTTTGTGAAGGTTGCGTACTAGGCAAGCAACACAGAGCTACATACCATTCTCGGACTGTAAAGCCAACAATTGCAGGAGAAATAGTAAGTGGAGATCTCTGTGGTCCTATGGAAAACGTTTCTCTAGGAGGAAGTCGCTACTGCCTGGTTTTCAAAGACTACTTTACTAAATTCAGAAGAGTATTTTTCATCAAAAATAAGACGGAGGTTACAGACTGTATTGAGACATACTTGAATGAATGTCAAACTGCTGGACATGTGGTAAAAACGTTTATGAGTGATGGTGGGACTGAGTTTAATAATTTTGCAGTGAAGAAATTGCTTGCTAAACGAGGCATCACTATGAGAACTGTTATGCCTTATACACCAGAAGAAAATGGTTCTATTGAACGTGAAATGCGCACGTTAGTTGAATCAGCAAGAAGCATGTTGTATTCAAAGAGATTGCCAAAGAGCTTATGGGCAGAGGCAATGAATACGGCGTGTCATGTGATCAATCGGACAGGACCAACAAGTACAGAAGGTACACCTTATGAACTTTGGTATGGAAAAGGACCAGCACCAATTGAACATTTTCGACCGTTTGGTACAGAATCCTATGTGCATGTCCCAAAACAGAAACGGAAGAAATGGTCAGCAAAATCAGTTCCAGGAAAATTGGTTGGGTATTGCGATGAACGAGATGGATTTCGAGTCTACAACGGTCACACAATAGTGGTCAGTAGAGATGTTGTCTTTAAACCTTATCAGAAAGGAGAGGTTATCAGAGCAGAGGGCATCACAGAAGATTGGGCTAAGACTGTTCCTGATGAAGACAAAGAACTTGACAAAACCTTATCCATTCCTATCCTATGCGAAGACAAGAGTCAGCCAATCAATTTTCAAGAGGAAAATGAAGAAGCTGAACCTGATGAAATTGAATATTGTGAACAACCAGAAGAGGAAGATCGACCTGATGAAATTGAATATTGTGAACAACCGGAAGAGGAAGATCGACCAGGAAGGAAAAGGCAACCACCTAGTTATCTTCAAGATTATGTTCTTGTAGCTGAAGCTGGACCAACATATAATGAGGCCGTTAGTAGTGAAGAGTGGTTTCATTGGCAGGCAGCTATGAATGATGAGATGGCATCTCTTCAGAAACACCAAGTTTACAAGCTCGTACCGTTACCCAAGAACAAGAAATCAATTGGAGTAAGATGGGTTCTTACAAAGAAGAAAAATCCAGATCGATACAAAGCTAGGCTTGTTGCAAAGGGCTACGCCCAGAAAGAAGGAGTAGATTATTTTAGCACCTACAGTCCTGTAGCAAGATTTGATACTCTAAGGACAGTATTAAATATAGCAGCACAGGAAAGCATGTTTTTGAAACAATTTGATGTAAAAACAGCATTTTTACATTCAAAGCTAGATGAAGAGGTTTATGTCGAGCAACCTGAAGGTTATAACGACAACTCCGGAAGAGTGTGGAAACTACAGCGTAGTTTATACGGCCTTAAGCAAAGTCCTAAGTGTTGGAATAAAAGACTTTCTGAGTTCATGAAATCTCAAAATTTCAAACCGAGTACAGCAGATCCTTGTTTGTTCCTTCGTGAAGGAAATGGTGAAAAGATGTTTGTCATAATTTATGTGGACGATGGACTCATATGTGGTACTTGTGAAAAACAAGTGAATGTATTTGTGCAGAACTTGAAACAAAACTTTGAAATCAAAGTATCAAAACCTGAAACTTACATTGGAATCGAGATTGTTCAAACAAGTGATGGAATAGTTCTCAGCCAGAGGGCATACTTAGATCAAGTTCTAGAAAGGTATCGGATGTCGAACTGTAACGCAGTGTCAACACCATTTGACAAATCAAGTTCTAGAAAGGTATCGGATGTCGAACTGTAACGCAGTGTCAACACCATTTGACAAATCCGATGTCAACACAAATGCAAAGCCTCTATCAACAGAAGTGCCGTATCGTGAAGCTGTGGGCAGTTTGCTATATTTGACAAACACTCGCCCAGACATCTGCTATGCAGTTAGTATGGTGGCACAGCATGTGACTAGTCCAACCATCAAAGACTGGAACCAAGTCAAGAGAATCCTTCGTTACCTGCAAGGTTCTAAGGACTACGTTATACGCTACACGAAGCAGAGCGATGAACCGAAGATTCTGAAATGTTACACCGATGCAGACTTCGCAGGTGATGAAAACAGCAGAAAGTCACGTTCAGGATGTCTATGTTTGTTTGCTGGCGGAGCCATTAGTTGGTTTTCAAAGAAACAAAATTGTATTTCACTATCAACTACTGAAGCGGAATATGTTGCTGCTAGTGAAGCTGCTAAGCAAGTAATATGGCTTAAAGGCTTGTTAGAAGAAATCAGCAGTTCATCGATCGAAGCAACTATGTACATTGACAATGCTGGTGCAGTACAATTAGCACACAATCCTTCAACGCATGGAAGAACGAAGCACATCAGTGTTCGGTTCCACTTTGTTAGAGAGCACTTCAACAACGGATGTTACAAAATGGAACATGTTCCTGGAAGACTTCAGTTGGCAGACTTCTTGACAAAGAGTTTACCTTCTAGTCGACTGAAGGAACTTTTGAACCTCTCAGGTTTGAGGGCAAATTAAAAAGATTTTTGAAACCTGAGAGCCTGTGAGTTGAGTTGGTATTAATATTCTTTAAAAACATGTGTTGTTTATTATTAAAGAATGACAATTGATTCTCATTCTACTCATAACATGGGCTTTGTTAAATAAAATAATACTAATTTCTTTATCCAACTTTTATTGTTTTTATTTGTTTAAGAGAACAAATTCATACAACGGTATTAGATTCCTAAATCACATACCAGATCACATAAGAAGCATACAGGATGAGAGGTTTCAAGGTGAAGTTGAAAGAATTTTTAATACAGAGGGCACTTTATTCATTTGATGATTTCTTTCACTTTAAAACAAATAGTAGGATAGATCTTAAAATGGCGTAACCTGAAGCTGATCATGATGATTGTAGCCTACTTAGTGTGCTGCTGCACACATATGATTTGATATGATATGATATATTATTGTTGTACATCTTAAATATCTAAATAGTTTGACACTATTCATGTAAATATGTATTTGCAGAGATATGAATAAAGACCTTTCGATTTGATTTGATTAGATTATATATGATATACAGTACATTGCCTAAATGACATTTGGACTTAGAACTATAACAGTATATACTGATCTGTAGGCCATCTTACATTTAACATTTCCCCTGATCAATTCCAGTTGTTTTTATGCCAGTGCACAAGGATAATAGCTACATCCACTAGTACTGACAGCCAGTGCATGACACCACTCTTATCTGTGTGTGAAACAAAATCTCTAATACGGTACTTAAAAATCTTAAATAGGGATCGTACATCAGTTACAAGCCATACAATTGCAATTCACCACACACTAAATTTATTTGTCCCCTTATATCACTTTAAATATTCTTTTAAAATTTTGATATTCCTACCTGACAAGATGACTAGTGTTGGGTAAGCTAAGGATGGCTGCTAGCAGACCCATGAAGCTGTTACAAGCAGCTGCCAGCTCGTCCTGGTCTGCCAGCAGATCCCACACTGCCGTCACAATAGATGACACCTGAGAACATTGACTCACAATCAGCCTAAAGAATCCATTCAGAAACTAGTTTATTATTCCTAGAGTTTAAACATTTAAAACATTAAGTGAGGTTTCAGCTGGTTTTTTGATGGGTAAACTGTACTAATTAATTACACCAGATAATCACCAAAGTTTACATGAATCAAAATAACCTAGAGATGATTCTGGAAAAAGTTCTGATCCACAAAAAAAAAGTGATATTAATGCCAAAACACCTGTTGCATATGAATCACAGTGAAAAATAGGCACAGAGAGATTGGAACGTAGGGCCCAGCAACCACAGTCTTAACCTTTAACAAAGAATATGTTACCTGATGAGGAAAATCTGAAACAATAGTCTGAGCTGCTGGTATCAGTGCTGAAGCTGCCACAGCAGCGACATCGTCCACACTGTCCTTCAGTCCTGCGAGAATCACCGAGAGTGTCTTACCCAGGATACTGCCCACCATGTCCTGAAACAATGGATAGGTGACTGACAATGCAAAAACAAATAGAAGAATAAACAATAAATAATTTCATCAACATAACATCAAAGAACAAAGAAATATCGATCACAGGCAATATCCAAGGTAATGTCATGCTTGTGCTGATAATCGTCTGCTCCTTACTTATCTGTCTGCTGTGCGCTATGTCACATCAGCCAAAGATGACATAACATTTAGCTGCCTGTGATTGGGTGATCTGTAGCCATGGCAACTTGTTGAATGTGTGGATGAAGAGAAATCCAAGAAAGAAAAGTACATAAAGAATAAAAATGTTTTCATGTCGTTGTTATTTTTATCTTCTTTTTACGAATTGTGGCCCTTTGGTGTGATTGATGGTGTGGAAACTGATTATGGATTCTGTGGTGATGTGATGTATTGATTGTAATTAAGTGAAAATGTGTTGGTAATTGGCTGTTGTAGGTACTAGGGCCTGGAGGACCCTAGTATGTTGCAATTAAGAACGTGCTGCACTCTACTACCATCTTGAAATGACAATTTAATTGGAAACGTTGTTGGGGAACCAGAGGGCGGAAATCTTTACCCAGACCAGAAGCAGGCCAAGCCAGCTTTGATTACTTATTTTTAACTATTTAAAAGAACTATAGCTAACCTTCCAAACTAAACTGGTAGATAGTGTAAATGGTAATGAATAAAAAACAGGTAAATATCACTCCCTAACTCATTACTGAATCAATTCGGACTCATAAGGCGATTCCTGAAAGAATTGATACTTAAGCCTTCAACGTGGTGATTTTCGCATGTCTAGGAATGATTACCTCGTTAAGCGAGGTAATCATATAATTTGGAATTTACATTTCTGCGAATGGAGCGAAGGCTTCCCCTTAAATAATTAAACTAGCCTATCATCCTGGTCTTAGCTCTACTTAATAATTAATTATAGACTCATCCTGATAAAACGAAGGCATGTCGATCTCAGTAAACGGACAATCAGAAAATCCAACGAAGGGGACGGAGGCCAGCGACAGACAAGACCGAGGAAAACTCGATTTCGTAGCTCCTTGACGTTTCTCGAAAAAAAGGCAAGCGGCAGACCGAAGGAGGCGCGCCGATCGCAAGGCCAGCGATTTAGTTGTGTGGCACTATATAAAATAGTGGCGCTGAGCGTCACAACCACCCCCACTCAAGGTTTTTTTTTTCTTTTTTTTTTTTTTTTTTTTTGGTTAGGGAAGGAAAGTAGAGGTGTGTAGTGTTTCAAAAAGGAAGGTTGTCGCTCGAGTTGCTTCTCCGCATCATAATTTCTGGGTCCTCAGATACCTTTCCCGGTTTGGTTCAAAAGGAAGCCGAGAAATCGATGGGTGAAACAGAAAACCCCAAACCAGTCCGGCTCGACTTGGGACCTTGGGCACCTTTTTTTTTTTTTTGGGGGGGATGTGAATGTTTTTGTGATTGGTTGAGCCAAATACGACAGAGATCGGGATCCACCCCCCCTGCAAAAATGAGGAAGGAATGAGGGGTTACGACAGCCATGCTATCCTGTTTGGGAAAACATTTGAGCTAGAATTGCATTTTGGAAACGATAAGGTTGGCAACTGCACGCACAAATTTTTTTTTTTTATTTTTTTTTTTTTTTAATTTTTTTTTTATTATGCACTGTTTTGATTTTGTTTCTTGAAAGGGGAAGGTTTGGGAACACTGACTGTTCTGTTCGTTTTTGTGAGGGTGGGAGAAGGCACTCGCAGTTTGGGTTGGTTTGTTCCAGGCTGGCGGTTGTAGAGGATGAGTTGGCGCAGCTTGTGTGGCATAGGCTGTTGGTAGTCTGCTTGACGCTTCGCCGCAGTGACTGCTTCGTGGCTTTGTGGGCGGCGTCTTGGAGTAGACGGGTTGTGATGTCACTTCAGGAGTTCTGCGGTCTGCAGGCACTATTGGCCAAGGCGAAGCTGCTAGCAGTGCCAACCAGGACGAAGCTGCTGGAGGCTGAGTCTGGGTTGATTCACCAGTGCTGCGCACTCTTCTCCTTCCTGTCCACTGTTCCCTTCACAGGTTGTGTCCACAGCGAGTCCATTTTGCCGGATTTGCTTTCGAGGCAATCGCACTGTTGTGTTACACTGGGACTTTCTTCTTTTTGAGGGATACCCACTTTAAAAAAAAATATTGTTACTAATATTCTCAAGGTGCTTTTAATAAATTCATATATATATATATATTTTTTTTTTGATTGTGCAGCTGCTATACTGTAAAAAAACTGAGGTTTTAAGTATTACCGAGAATATAAAAATAAAAAAGGGTAACTGTCGTGTTACTTGAGGGTGGTGAAGGGTAAGTAGCAGGGCGGTGGACCGATCACTGACGGAGTTGGCTGTGATCTGTCAGGGGCGTTGTGGATTTGACCCACGATAGGTGCCGGGTAACCAAGGCTGGACTGGTGTGGGTCGTGTAAACCGATTTTTGTCTGTGCTTTTGTGTTTGGAAGGTGTGAAAGGATACAAATTCTATATTAACCCCTTTTTTTTATTTATTTATTTTTTTTATTTTTTTTTTTTCTTTTTTACGCATGCAAACTGCAATTAGCAAAATTATTCTTGATTTCACAAGCATGCTGCTGTTAACAAAGTCCCGACGATACGGTTTCTCTTTGGATTCGTGCCGGTTTTGTTCTTGGTGCGATACACGGGCGTTGATGGGACGGGCAAAAATATTTTCTATTGGAAGCTTGTAAACCTATATATTAACTTAAATAATCTTTGGTTTTTCCTAAGACCTAACTACAGTTACCACTACAGACTACTTAAGTTAAGAAGAAAGGAAGAAAGAGATCAAGGGGATGATAGGAAAGAGTATAGTGAGAGGTTGTCTCCCAACACTCGACTGAATTCAAGGTCGCCACAGAAGGTGCCTCTACTGAGCCCTTTCCTGCAGGGTAAAATTAAAAAACTTAAACATAAAAGGTAAAACACCAGCAGGAAAGTAATTTTTACATAAAAAAAAAACTCAAAACAACTCAGCAGGGGTGTCGGAGACTAGAAGAGGGGGTATTTGACCAACAGCGCACGGGGAAGGGACGTGTAGGGCAGCCCATCCTATGGAAGGATACCCTGAGACTCACTAGTCCCCCGTGCGTTGGCGGTTGAAGAGACAGAGGGTGGAAGACTTAACTTAGTATCACATCGGCACTGCGTTTCTGGTCTGGGTAAAGGGAGTATTTCAAAATTGTGGTTGGAAGAAACACTTCAATTGAGAGATATGTGCATTTCTGATGAATTTACCTGTGGATGGGTTTATCAAACGTGCTGTAACTGGTGATGAAAATGTTTCTATAACACAAGGTAAATTCATCCAATACTCTGGGAAGCCAAATGAAGCAGACTACGATGAAGCATTTCACCAGCTTGAAACAGATTTTGTGGCAAACAAATTTTCAACCCTAATCTGTTCAGCTATGGGTTGTGTTAGGGACTTGATAAAGCCTCAACATTTTATAAAAAATATTATCCATTTTCACCAGCGAACCGGGGCACGAGTCATTATAGTTTCTTCTGACCAAAAGGCGAAACGAAGACTTTGGAGAGGACTTTCGCACAACGAGTTTGTAAAGACTTTGGAAAATCTGATAGCCTCACACTCATCACTTGCCCCTGTCACCACAACACCCCAGAAGCAACAGAGCAACAGCAACACCTCCATCACACAACAATCACCATCTCCAGAATTTTCCACCCAATGCCAAAGTGAAGTGAGTGATAAAAGCCAGTCCAGTGTAAGTGAGTGCGTAAATGGAGCAAAAAGCAATTCAAGTACCCCGACCAACTCAGATGCAACTCCAGACTGCAGCAGCACTCCACCATCACGTGAACCTTTATCACCTTTTAAAGGATTCAATACACCAACAACTGAGAAACTGGACTACATAACTAGTAATTTAAGCATGTATGATACTAATAGACCTAGCTCTTTTATAAATATTTCACCTTTTTTAGGGAACATGACCCAATTTCCACTCTTAGGAACAAAGTAAGGCATACAAGTAATAATAGTAATAACTTTTGGTTTTTACATCTGAACATTCAAGGTTTTTGTAATCATTCTACAGATCTGTGTTTTTTACTGGAGAATAGTAGCAACAACATAAAAGTAATATCTCTGAATGAACATTGGTTAAACAAATCTAATATTAATGTATTAAATAAGTTAAGTGGTTTTAAAGTAGCTGACTATTTTTGTAGAGACAGAAAACTTAGAGGAGGCTCAGCTCTTTTGTTATCTCAAGAAATTGAATTTAAAAAAAGAGATGATCTCAAGTTTTTAAATGAAGAAAATAATTTTGAATGTAGTTTTGTAGAAGTTTGTGAATGGAATACATTATTTATTTCAATCTATCGTATACCAAATCTGGACATTGATGACATATTTTTTGAGAAATTTGACTGTCTTTTGTCTAAACTTTGGCATGAGTCTAAGTCAAAAAACATTTTAATAGCTTCAGACCATAATATCGATCTTCTAAAAAACAATAACCGATCAAGAAGTTTACAATACCTTTGTTATCAGTTTGGGTTAAAATATCACTTTTTTCAACCAACAAGAATAACTCCAACCTCCAAAACTTGCATTGATAACATATTTTCTAACATGAAATTGATTTCAGATAAAGCTGAAACCCAAATTATCAATGCAGGTGCATCTGATCATGAAGCAATACTATTATCACTAGCTGACTTAAAACCACCCCCCTCAGCTTTAAAAAGATCAAATGTTTCTTTTAAAAGGTCATTTAATTCAGAAAATTTAAATTATTTCAAAAATAGTCTTATTGAATCAGATTGGAAATTTAATCCTTTTGAAACTGTAAATACAAATTATAATAGCTTTTTAGATTGCATCCTGAAAAATTTTAATCAAGCTTTCCCTCTTAAACAATCAAAATGTAATTCTGTTAAACATGCATCCAAAAACTGGATTACACTTGGTATAAAAATATCCGCTGAAAGAAAACGGCTTCTCCATATCGA